GGGGGGGGGTGGGTGGTGTTTTTGCAGGTGGCTTTTGCACCCCGGAGGATGGGGAGAAAGGAGAGGGCTGCCGCCGGCCTGGGGGTTTGGTTTCAATGGGAAACTGGGGGAGATGGAGGTTGGGTGAGAAATAGTTGGCGTGCTTGGCGTGCGAGGGGCACGTCAGCCTGAGTTTATTCTGCTACGTTTGACGGCGCCCGGTTAAAACTACAAAGCGGAGCTGCATCAGGAGGGAAAAGCCGTTGCTGGGCTTATCGAACGCCAGCAGTGCTCGCCAAAGGCTCCCCGAGTTGGGTTGGCCACTGACATCCTGACGCGTGAGCGGGACGCTCCGTGCCTGTCGCCGAGCCCATTCCCTCTGTCTTGCCTCTGCAGAGCTCCTCCTGTCCGGCAAACTCAGCGAGTATGGTGTGATCGTCCCCTTCAGCGCCGATTGCCGAGGCCGCTTCCTCTCGCACGTGGTGTCCGGCGACGCGGTGGCGGGGATCGGCGAAGCCGCCTGTCCCCCGGCCCCGCGCCCGTCCCGCCGCCGCGTCCCCCGCAGCCCTCTGGATGAGTCCCCCCAGCGCCGCGGGGCCGGGGGCCGCTTGCTCTACTTCAACGTCACGGTTTTCGGGAAGGAGCTGCACCTCCGGCTGAGGCCCAACCAGCGGCTGGTGCCACCGGGCGCTGTGGCCGAATGGCAGGAGGATTTTGAGGTGCTTTTCCGAGAACCCCTCCAGCAGCGGTGCCTTTTCATCGGTGACATCTCCGGCATGCCTGGCGCCGCTGTGGCCATCAGCAACTGTGACGGACTGGTAAGCTCGAGGCCGGTGGGGCGGTTTGTGCGTGCTGCCTGTGTTTTGGTGCGGTTTTCTCTTAAGAGGTGGATCGCGGTGTCCTGAAACCTGATTTTTGGGTGGCTGCACCATACGTTGCCATTTACCGGCTGGCTGTTGTGGGTTCCCTTCCCCACGTGGCTTGTGGCGTAAGCAGGGCAGGGTACTACACGTGCGAGCGCTCCATCGTTCCGCTATATGTGCAGCAATGCAGCTGTATTTATTTAAAGGGGTTGAAAAAATTGCCTGTCCCATGCCTGAGCTGCCTCCTGCCCAGAGGTGGACTGTGTCAGATGCCGTTATGCCCGCGGGCTCTGTCCCTGCCTCCAGGATGGGTACCCACGCTGCCGGTGATGCTGCTTCATTCTCGCTCACCCACCTTTTACCTTGGGACTGCTTCAGGAACTTTTTCTCCGCATTTCCCACCTCTTAAATGAGGCCGAGTGACCTCGAGCATCTCCTGAAATCACTGTTAGCGTGCAGTCTCGCTTCTGCTAAGCACCTTTTTGGGGGAGGACCTCTTTTTTTTTTTTTTCCTAATAGCTGATATGCTCAGAGCCTTTTGGTTTTCTGAGTGCAGGGTGAGCGCAGTTCAGCATCGGTAACTTACTGCCTCAGTGCTTGAATTACTTAAATGGCTCGGGTACCTCCTTAGCCCTGGCATCTGGTCTGTCCATGGGTTTCCTACTTTTGATACACTTGAGGAATTTCTTCTTATTTTTTTATACCTTTGGCTCATTGCCCTTCAAATTTCCTTTGAGCCAATTTAATTCTTGTTTTAGGTGCCAGCATTTGCTGTTTTCTCCTGGTACCACTTAGGTTACTCCTGGGTTGGAATAAATGTCTTATTTTGCTTTTTTTATATATATTTCTTTTTTTGGTTGTTTTATTCTGGGAGTTCCTTAGCCAATTTTGGCTGCTAGCACAAACAATTTGGCATTCCTTTCTTTTTATATAGCGCCTGGTGTTACTATAAAAGCAGAAATGATAGAGCAGCACAGCTAGAAATACGTAGTTCGCCTACATATAGCAGTTTATTTTTTTGCCAACAATTTTAGTACATAATCCACACCTTTTGAAGCATCTTTTTTGGAACTGGATGAAGCTGTGAGTTTGCAGAAATTTCTCCGCAACATGGATCACGCTGGGGCTGGCGAATTTGGGCAGGCTTGAAAGCTTTAAAGGTATTTCCTATAGCTCCAGCAAGCAACTAGTAGTGCTGCGCCTGGAATGAAAACCTATTTTTGAAGTGTGCAGGTTTCATTGAAGATATAATTCCCACTGGCATCATGAGTGAAGGGATGCTGGAAGCCTTCGGCAGCTGAGTCTGTGTCCCGCCGTGGCTGGGAAGCAGCGAGGATGGTGTTAGGGGGTTTCTCTTCCCTGGAGCCCACTCTACTGTTAGAGTCCATCTCAAGTAGGCTTTAGTTTAACTTTTCTAGGCTTTAGCCCCAAGTTCTCCCATCTCAGCCCCTTGCACACCGTCTCATGTGGGGATTGTTACTATTTTTGCCCTTGTTCCAGCCATCCCTTGGCCACAGGTAGTAGCAGCGATGCCGGTTTAGGATGTAGCTTGTACTGCAGGATGCTTCTGCACGTGGATTTATGCAGCTGTACCCGTCTTGCCATCTGTGGTACCCCCAAGCCCGCTCTTTTAAGCTCATGTAAAGAAAGAAACGTCTCTTCCCCCAGGATCAGCAGCTCAGGGTGCTTGCTTCATCCCTCTTTACCTTCATTAACCCCCAATGCAGCCAGCTCTGTGGGGGCTTTGCTGTTGCTGTGTGGGGTGGGATTAGCCGAGCCATGTTGTGCTGATGCACGGGGCTTTGGTGGTTTGCAAATGCCGAGGGCTTCTGCAGGGTGGTTTTGGCGTGCCCCCATTTCCGAAGCTATCCTGGGACACGGTGTTAGCGTTGTGGTTGCTGATGTGCTGTCTCACAGATGTTTTATTTCTTCATGTAGTGCTCCAGCAGCACTAAGGAAGACAGAAAAAAAACCATGATTTTTTTTTTTTTTGATTCCTGCAATGTATTTATTGCTCCATGGCCAACAAATAAATGCCCTGGCCTTAAGCAGCAATTTCCCATCATCTGGCGAAGCACATGTGGCGATTGCAGGCTGGGGGAAGAGGTCAGGAGGACAGAGCCTGAGCAGGCTCTGCTCCTCCCCCGGTAAACAGGATTTTGTGCTACCGCCAACGTAGCAGTTGGTTGCTCTCTTTCATGTTTTTTTCTGGCTGGTGTAGATTGCGATATGGTCCTCTGGCTTAACTTAGTCTGACAGCTTATATCTGCTCAGGGTCCGTTCTCTTTGGAGGAGTTGTGAGACCAAGAGGACCCCAAAAAAGCAGTGAAAAGAGCTTGATTTAGCAAATGGAGCAAGAAACAGAACCAAAACACGGTGGTAGGTGTGGATGGGATGGGAGGATGGTATTTATGACCACGCTGAACTCCAGCATAACCCGTCAGAGAAGCAGCAGAGCATCTGGGAGGGATGTGCATGGCGGGGACTGTCGTTAACATCGTGCTAGATAGGGACTAACTTAATGTGGGGCGCACTGGCTGTAGGTAGCTTTGTTGCTCTTTGAGATGCGTGCACCCTGGAATTGCTGTGGACTTTTTCTGGAAGTTACCCATGAGTTTCAAAAGGGGACTGTGGCTTTTGCATCCCGGTATAGCGTGCGTGGGAGGCGCAGGACCGCACTTGGTCGCTTGTTTCTGGTCAGAGGAAGCATTCTGGGATGCTGCGGATGAAGGCTGTGTACACAAAGAGATTACGCTGTGTATAAACGGAGACTGAGATTATAAATAATGAGGGGAACAAAAACCCCAGTTCTAGAAAAACAGAGTACACATTAAGTCTTTCTTAAATCCATATTTGGCCATGGAAGTGAGCTGATACTTTTCACAGATGCCAAACCCATGGCACCTTCCACGGCTGTTATTTGCTACAGGCATCCACACATGAAAATCCGGCCTTTTTTTTTTGCAAGGGCGTCTCATACCAGGGTAGGAAGATGCTGTCGTCCATAACATAATTTCGAAGCTGATCCAAGCCACCAAATTCCTAACTGGTAAAGCAACATTAGTCAGAAATCACCCCCGGTGGACACATCTCGCTGCAGTGAAGGCATGCCATCTTTCCACGCTGGCTTTAGCAGCGTGTGGTCGACCTTGCTTTTCCGTGCTTTGCTGTTTGCAGAGATGGGTGAAGAATTATTGTCTGTAGGCACCGTATTTGCTTTTCATGGCTGACTTTTCCCCCACTGCTCTCTGGGGTTATGTGCACCAAACACCAATGTGCTGCAAACTGTAGAGCCAGCGTTTTCCGTCCCTGTCGCCCTGGCCTGCTTCGGATGGGTGGCAGCAGATAAGCAGAGCACAAAAGCCCTCAGGAACAGTAATTAATAGGGAACGAAGGAATAAACAGTCCCCATAATGATGCCCCTATGCAAAAAGTATGGATTTGCCTTCCACGATTTTCTCTGCAGCTCCTGAACTGTAGGGTTAATTTTGGGAAGAAAAAAGGTGTTGGTTTAAATGCCTAGAGGGTGAGATGTCTCAAGATGTTGCTCTCAATGGGAATGGAGCAAAAGTGTCTGAAGGTGGTATTTTACACCCTCCCCCCGACTTCACTGGTGGAAAGCTCTCTCTGCGTCCCGCTTAGCATCTTGCCTGAGTTTGCAATACTAGACCATGTGCCCAGTAAAGAACGTGGAGTGAAAGTCTCAGTGGTTAATTATCTCGCTTAATTCTGTGTTCCCCCGTGATGCCAATGAGCTTGCAGATGGCGAGGTACCAAAATAGTGACCAAGCACCTCTGGGCCATACCCTGGTGCCACGCACACTGTGCTGCTCCCAGGTGTGGTCCAGGTCCGTGCAGGGCAGATGCGTCCCTTGACAGATCCCCCCGATGCCCTCACTGGGCAACCTCTGGATGAAGGGGGAGCAGTGCCTGTGTTCACACAGCCCGGCTTTCTGGGACTTTTTGTCCAAATTAAGTGTGAATCGCTTAGGAAAAATACATACTATGCACGCAGCTGGATTTCCCCCTCCTCGGCGCTGTTTGCTTCTCTGGCTGAGTGGAGCGGCTTTATTAATTTTTCCACATTTCAGCTGCATTGAAGTGTCAGAATTTCCTGAATTCCTGTGGGAGCTGGAGCTTTTTACCCCCAGCGCTTACCCCGGGGTGCCGGGGGCGTCCTCCTTAGCGAGGCTGGCACTGGGCCAGTGGGGCCAGTTCCTCTCTCCCATAGCCTGGGGAGACGCAGGAGAGCTGGAAAAGAGACTTCACCTTCTGCGAGCTGGCAGAATTGAGTTTGGTGTTTTCCTTAAAAGAAAAAAAAAAAAGTATATTTTCCCTCTTTCCAGTGGAATTGTCTTCAAAGGGCCTTTTTCTAGTTTGGGAATTACCTTCACCGAGAGCTGCAGACAGCATCTCATGTTAGAAATATCAGAAATGGTAGTCCCACCTTGCCAGATTTCATTTGATTTGGTATTATTAAACCAAATAAAATTGGGGGTGGGAAGCGCATGGCAAATTGATCGCTGAGGATGGGATCGATCTCTTGGCAAGAGCCCAAGGAAAGCTTATTGAGGCTTTTTGGGTGGTGTCTGGCCTCTCTTGCTGCCTCCCTACAGTCATAACCTTCCCAAAATGCTGAAATACAACCTGAGCTGCTCCTTTTTAAGACCGAGCAGGTTTGTGCATGCCTCTTGCAATGGTGTTTTTGGGTTGTTTTTTTTTTTTAATTTATTTTTGCAAATGCCAAGGTGACCGCTGCGGTTTCTGTTTCATTTATTAGGCTGCTCTGATCAGATGTGCGCACAAGTCCTCGCAGTATCTGCTTTGCCTGTGGGTCGTGGCTGGAATCAGTAGCGTGTTGCATCCCGCCTTTGGGAGGAAGCACGGGCGAGAAAGTCTGGGCTGCTTTGTTTCTTGAGCCATATATAATTAATCACGAGCTGTAGAGCAGCGCAAACCTGAGTGGGCTGTGGCTTGGGACCAGACTCTTTCATATTTTAATCCAGCCTTGCCCCGGCACAGCGGCGCAGCCTTCCTCCGGCCGCCTGACTCAGCAAGTCCCGGCTTTCGTCGTAAACCCTTAAGCCAGCTTTGAGGTGCCTCGTCCCAGGTGAAACACCCCGTGACAGGTCTGCGAGGGGGTAGCAGTGTCCCAGCAGACCTCCTCCTGGGGCAGGGATTGCTTCTTATGCCGCTGGGCTAAAATAGGATGCTGGCAAGGGTACCGTGCCGGGTGCTTTTGGGTAGCAGGAGTGCCACTCCAGCCTAAATTTGTAGCCGCGTGCAAGCTGGAAGCACGTTAGTTGGTGGGAAATTATCAGCGTAATTCATGCGTATAAAATCCAAGCGTGTTTGTGATGCCTGTGTCAGATGCCCAGGGCTCTGCCCTTCGTAGCTACTCATTTTTGTGTTAAGCAATGGATGCCCACCTTCTCTTATCATATAATAAAGAGCAACGGCTTGGACCTGCCCCATCAGGGACTTGCCCAGCCATCACTGGACCTGACCTGTGGGTTGACTCCTTGGCTTGATCTCTGCCTTATCACCACCACCTTGCCTGGTGCTCCAAACTCATGGTTGAACCTGGCTGTGATCTTCATCTCCTTGACTGGAGGTGGTGGGACAAGCTCTGGCTGGAGATGTCCTGCTCTGGTGATCTGAACGTCTCCTGTGGGAAGGACCTGAGATACGTGTGTCAGGCGAGTTGATCCTAGCATAACTGCCCGTACTTAGATTCCTTGGGAAGGAGGTGAAACAAAACCAGCCAAAAACCTTCTTTCCAGAGGAGTTAAGCAGCTAATAAAACCCAAGTGTAGCAGGAAATTTGATGAAGTCTAACAGAGCCAGGTTGGCTGATGCCACGATGAATGCAACGGTACGTGAATGCGAAGGGGATCCAATGACCCAGGCAGGCTTGGAAGAGCCCCAGCTTTGCCTGGCTGTTTACAGAGCCCAGCTCACATCTTCGTACTGCTCTGTGCAAAATCTCTCTCTCTATATATATATAGATATAATTTTTGTTTTATTTGATGAAAACAGTTCCAATACCCCAGCCCTGATGAGGACTCCAGTAGGTACATGCTGTCAAAGCCTTTGCTGTAAGAACAGATCCATATGTTCTGCCTGTGCTTTCCAGGCAGCTATTCAACAGCAGGCAGCAGCGGGCAGCGCGGGAGCAAGGAGCGCACGCATGCGCGATGGAGGGAGCTGCGAAAAATGCTGGGCTGGGGGGGACTGCCCACGGGATGGAAGCCAAATCCTGGTGATCCTTTTGCTTGCCCGAGGTCTGAGCCAGCCGGCGCTGCGGGGTATGAGTGCTCGGGCTGATGTCAAGGGGGATTTGGTGGGAGCTTGGTGTTAATTAGGAGCAGGTTGGTAGCCAGGACAACATTTCCAGCGATGTTTGCCCTCTCATTCATCTTCCCCTTCTTTGGGAGGTGGAGTTGTAAGGCTTTCCAGCTTCTCCTCTGAAGGGATTCCCCTGCTTTAATTCCCAAGCACTTCACAGGGCAAAGATGATGGTTTCTTTTTTCTTTCCTTCTCGCTGTGACTGCAGTTAGTAGCGTCGGTGAAATGGCTGATTTCCTCCCCAGCACTGTGGGGGTGGGGATGGGGATGATGGGGAGGGTGCAGGGAGGCGAGGTGGCGTGGGAGCCCGTGCAGCCTGTATCCCCTGATGCGCAGGGTTAGGCAGAAAAACTTGTCGCTGATGAGAAGGAATGGTTTCCTAGCCATGTAAAGACATAACTTGAATCATGGCCAGATTTTTTTTTTTTGGTTGGTTGGTTTTCTCCCCCTCTTTTTATTTTATTTTTTTTCCATCTACAGGAGAAATTAAAGGTTATCATGCATGAACATGATAATGGATCCATCCCAGTGTCATGGAGTAGCAACAAGACACCTAGTTGATTTGGGATGCTTTATCCCCTTGCATTCATGCATGCTCTGTATCAATCTTTAATGAATATATTGAGTGTGTATATACACATACACGTATATAAAACCACACCTTTTTTTCTCTTTTCTCTATTTCTTTGTGGAGTCCAGGCTGGCCTGATTCGGACAGACAGCAACGAGTTCTTCATCGAGCCCCTGGAGAGGGGGCAGCAGGAGACAGAGGAGCATGGGAGGGCCCATGTCGTGTACCGCCGGTCGGCCATCCGGCAGGACAGTGCCGAGCCCCGCCAGGACCTCCACCCCGAAGGTACGGGCTGCTTGAAGCTAGTCTTTCCCAGCAATTGATAATAACTGTTTCTTGTCAGGAGAGGATTTCTCCTTCCACTTGCCCTCTGGCTTGTACATCTCACCCTATGGCTTTAGGCTGGCTTTAACTGCCAGTTGGGTCATCAGTGAGAAGAAAGGAAAGAAAATGCTGGGAACTTTGAAATTCTTCCAAATTTGGTTAAAATTAGATGAGTTATATATGAGTTATTCTTCCTCCTCTTCAAAGAGGAATCTCCTAGATGATGTGGGTGTGATCAGGCCCATGGATGATCACATTGGCCTTGGGATGGGAAGCAGAGTTGGGACTCTTGAGCGAAGGGGTATGGAGGAGCCTGACTTGGTCCGACTTGGCTGCCAACTGCAGCTTGGAGATGTAGGTGCTGCAGTCTTGTTTTAATCAGCCATACGCTGTGAAATGTGGAGTTGATTTGACTTTTTAACAGATCATAGAAGCCCTTCCTTTTCCCAGTGTTCATAATTAATTTCGCTTTTCTAGTGCCTTGTCCTTTTTTTTTCGTCCTTCTTTCCCTTGAAGGAGAAAATGTGCCTTTTTTTAATAGCATCACTTAGCTGTGCGCTGCACTCTGCGTGCATAAATTGCCTGCTGACTTCCCCTCTCACCCGCACAAAGCCAAGCGCACCCAGAAGTGTTTACAAGCGCAGGGTCAACCTTGTGCAAAAGCACTCTATAAACCTATTTATATTTACATGGAGGCATTAGCCTTCCCCGGTGTTTATTCACCTCTTGTGGCACCATAATCAGCTCCCTGATTTTTAAAAGAGTTTAAAAGTTTTCCAGGGTGTGCTCATTGCTTTTGTAGCATCGCTAGTGGAATTGCAATTGAGAGCTTCGAGTGAGCTGCTGGATGCTGGGGTAAAGGATGCGATGAAGGGTGAAGGATGCTGTGAAGGACAGAGGATGCTGTGTCTGCAGCTATCTGCTCTCAAGGAGCAGCCCCCAGCTTCGCACACGTCCTCCCCAGCTATCCACCACCGCCCCAGGTGTCCCACCACCACCCAACAGGCAGTGTAGGACCGTCGTTGCACTGATGTGTCTTTTAGTGCTGGTGCTCCCAATTCAGAGCCATTTCCCCACTGTAGAGCAAGCTGGATCAGCGACCTGGTTGGAGTTATACATCCTATTTATTTTTCCTGCTTAATTTATATTTTTTTGGAGTGTCACCATGGTGTCAGGTCACCTCAATGGCTGTTTCTTTTTCTGTCCCCCATGCCTTGCTCAGTGCCCGGCGTGCGGGTGGGCGATCTCCCCAACTCCCTGGAGCTGATGACGGAGCGGCTGGGGGATGCGGAGCGCAAGAGGCGCCATGCCAGGAAGGATGACTACAACATCGAGGTCTTGCTGGCGGTGGACGACTCGGTTGTACGCTTCCATGGGAAGGAGCACGTCCAGAACTATGTCCTCACCCTCATGAACATAGTAAGGCTTGGCTTTGGGGGCCCGTTGGCTCCCACCCCTCCCTTGGTTTACTGCTCTTCTGTGGCTGCGAATCTGTTATCCCGGAAAAAAATGGGTTGGGGGCGGGAAAAGTGCTGCAGGAAGGGCTGTTCCTTTGCTGGAACAGCCGGCTTTGGCATTTAATAGCTGTGGCAATGGGAGTGATGGAAAGGAGAGCCCCTTTATGTTCATCTCCATCATGTTCCCCTGGCCAACAGCAGGGTCCGTCATGTTGGTTGCTGTCACTGTCTGTCACCCGAGTCCAAGAGCATCTTCTGTTTCTCCTGGCCAAGACCATCTCATCCTTGTGGCCGAAATCTCAGCAAATGCTAAGGAAGAGAATGGTTGTTGACTGTTTAGTTTGAAATTGTTATAGTTATTATTTATTTTGTAATTATGATGTTTATTATTTATTTTCAATAGTATTTGGGGGGGGGCAGATTTTTATAGATTTCGGAAGTTTTTTCACGTTCCTTGGAAAGCCTGTGCACCTTGAGGATTAGTCAGATGTGTTTGAAAAGGAGTTTATAGCAGCTTTACAGCAGCCCTGCTTCTGCATCTCTCCTCATCCAGTGGCACAGGGCAGCCTGTACTGATTACCTACACTGCTTTTCTTTCTTTTTTAAGATAAAAATGTACATATTCCCCAAGTTCTGAGAGATGTGGAAGGATCAATATTTATTCAGCTAGTCATCTTGCAGGAGGCTTGCTCTGCCGGCATCTAAATGTCTGCGAATAGGGTCCGTGTTCAAAGATCTCTTTTGTGCGCTCTCCCATTTTTGTTTTCCATGCTTTATCCTTGCCTCTATTTATTTATTTTTATTTAAGTACTCTTTTCCATGGTGATGGAAAGTGTTCAGAAGGCACAATCAGCTCAGAAATAACCGAGCTGTAACGATGCTTTTGCTTTTTGATTGCTTGCTTGTTTGTTTGGGCATTATTTCTGCCCTGGCAGGCAGGCTGAGAGCCATATTGCCAGTAACGAAGGTGAAATTATCAACATAAGGGGTAAGGATTTGCGGGATTAGAGGCAAAGCATAATGTGGCCAGTCCCAAATGGAAAAGATGTTGGTTTTAAAAAGCAAATGCCTTCATTGCAACATTTTATTCTCTGGTGCGTTATCTTGATGCTCGTGGTAGGATGCTCTCAGCATCACTTAAATTCTCTCTCTGAAAGTTTCTCCCCTTTGCTTATTAAATCCTTCTGCAAGGGGGAAGCCGCAGGGTTCCCCGTTCTGACCCCAGGCTCTTCCCACGTTACGGGGGTTGGAGATGATGTCATTTTTCTTTTCCGATCCGGGGGGACGGACGGTTTGAGTGCCTGGGGATTGTCAGCTCTAATCAAAAGGTTGGTTTTCAGGCGCATTTCATGGTTTATACCCCGCGGGCAGGACTTTTCAGGGAGTGAATGCGCGGGATGCTGGGCTGGGAGAAGGGAGGACCACTGTCTATTCAAATAAAGGCGGTGCTGGAGACTTTAATGAATTAAATAAAAGGGGAAAATGCAGCATCAATAAAAGGGGGGAAAAAACCCAGGATAATGGATGCAACAAATACTTTCCCCAAGTATTATTTCCTTCTATACATTCTTCCTCCACCCCCTTCCCCTTCTTTCTTTCTGGTTTTTAGTGCGTTTTCTTTCCAGCTTTGCCATGACCTCCGTCCGCCTCCTCTTCCCTTGGCGCCGCCTCATTTCCTTACCGGCTCGGATTGCCTTAAAATACCCGATTCAGCAGAAAAAAAAATGCTTTCTGGCCTGTATGGCAGAGGGGAGAGAGAGGAGGGTGCCGGGGGTTGGCGGGGAGGAGCGTGCTGGGACCACACAACTGAACACTAATCCCATTAGTTGGAGGCAAGGGGAAGGAGGGGAGGGTTGGCCAGCCCTCTAATGAGAAAAGGACTTAATGAGCTGGGCTGGAGTATGCTGGGGAGATGCTGCATGGGAGCCAGCTGGGAAAACCTCCAGGAGTTTTCTTATCAAGATATATCCCAAGGAAAGGGGGCAGCGAGCTTGGAAGTTCATAATAAACTTCCCTGGCCTTTTCTGGGGTCCCTGTTGGGTGCTGAGGGGGTAGTGGGACAAGTAGCCCTTCCCGGTGCTGCACGGGCTTGGCTTAACACAGTGCTGCTGTAGGTAGGGTCCTGGGGCTCTCCCCAAGGCACAAACCCTTTTAGTAGGAACTCTGTGTCAGCTGAAGCTCCGTGATAAATGATTCGTCATGGAGAACTTTTTTTTTTTTTTAAAAAACAGCCCTTATTTCATTGCCAGAAATGTTGATGCCAGGCTTTTCATCGAACGGCGCTGTGTCCGTCCCGGGAAGCTGACATGAGGATGACTGCTCCTTTTGTGCACCTAAGAGCTTCCCTGCAGGCTGCCATCCCCTCTAGCTCCCAGCCTGCATTCCCAGCCTGCCACTCCCTTCTTGGCTCGGAGGCTACACGAGGATTTTGGGTCAGGTTGAAGTGAGCGGGAAACGCATCCTTTGCCATCGCTTGCTGTGCATGCTGGAGAGGGAGCATCTGATATGAGCATATCTCATAACTCCAAGCTGAGCATCACTGTGCCCGTCCTAGCAAAACCTGGCCCCCTCCCTGATGCTCTCGGGATGAATATTTGGTGATGTGGTGGCTGGGGCAAGTTGTTCCCCTGTCTTGCTTGCTGCCCACGGCAGGGATTGCAATGCTATTGAAGCAAAATTAGCATCCCCCAGCCACAGTGACTGCCGTGTGCGAGGGCTGAAGGGTGGGAGAAGGGCTGGGAACCAGGAGGGGATCCAGCACCCTGTCAGGGGAAGAGGAGAGGAAATGTTTTGTGTCCTGCTTTGCTTTTTCGCCTCTTGCCATTCAGTTGGGCTCCTTGGTTTTCTCCTCCGGACTTCCCACCGCTCGCCCCTGATGCTCTCAAGGCTGGGGCTGGCCCTGCTCAGAGATGACAAGCCAAGCTATGGGCTCTGTTAAGCCTGGCCCTGGTGTCAACTGCTTAGCTGGGGTTTTTGTAGGATATTGCCCATGATTTGCTTAAGGATGCAAAGGTACTTGGTGTTTTCCCATTGTTTTGGGTTACTAGGGAAACCCCGCGAGTCAGAGCCCTCTCCAGGCTGGGACTTGCCCGACTCCCCTCCGGCACATCGGCCGAATTATTGTTCCCAAGAGCTGAGTGATAAAGAGTGCTACTGAGACCCTGCGGAGGAGAGGGTTAGGGGGGAAAAAAACAAACCTCTGGCTATATTTTTAACCTGGGATTATCTGAAAAGCCAAACCAGAGCGTGGATTGCTCGAGAGACTGATTTGCCAAGCTCGATGCCATTTCAGGAGGGAGGCCAGTCTAAAATAATGGGCAAATTATAGTCCTTCTGGTGTATGGATTTGTTTTGGGGTGGTTCATGAGCCATCTCCTTGCTAACTGATAATAGCAAAAAATACCTCTGATGTCTCTCTTACACGTGCATGTGCTTTTTCCTGCCCCCTATATAGACTCACGTGTTTGTTGCTATGTTTTTGTGACAACATAGCCTGTTGCATGGAGAGCTGTGATAAAATCTAGAGTCTTGCTCTGCTGAGCAAACCTCCCCTTTCCTCCATTCCTCTGTATTGAAAATGTGGGTAACATGGGTCAGCCCTTGCAGAGGGCTGCAGGGGATGCAAGTGCATGTAGCAAGCCCAAAAATGTGATCAGGAGGACCTTTGCCTCTGTTCCTACCCCCTCAGCCCCAGAAAATGGGGGGGTGAATCCACCAGCCTGAAAATTGAATGAGGGAATAAAATAAAGGAGCTTAAAGATGACTTGGCTGTTCTGAGTAAGCGATCTGGGGTTTTGAAATGTCAGCTATTCTGCTGGTTTGGCAAATTCTTCTCATGTCTCTCTCTTTTGTTTTCCTTCCCTGAAGAACGTTAAGGTCTAGACGTTGCCAGTGCGGTTTGCTGTCGAGATCTCATGTCTGGGGCTGCAGACTCGGGGCTGGCCAGACTTGCAGGGATTTAGGTAGGCAGCCTTGCTCTCTCCCAGTGCTGGTGAGGGTCTGGGGGGGCCCCGCACTTTGTAAATTCACTGAGCATTTTGGAGAGGATGCACAAAGTTTTAATGTTCCTTTCATTGTGTAAAGCTTAGCATCATCCCCTTGGCATTGCAGGGCTGGGGGCTTTTTTGTTGCCTGCGGGGGGTCCTCTGGACTGGTTGGTCTTGCTGGTTTGCCCTTAACATACATCTAGCCTTAAGGGCTGGTCTTTTTTAGGAGAAAAAAATCCTCTTTTAAATGGAATAGGAGATCATTTCTTGCCAGGTGACAATATTATACAGGCTGGGCATCTAACCATGTGGGCGAGAGGGATAAGAAGATCTTTATCCCATCTGTCTTCAGGGAGGTGGGTCCCTTTACCGGAGCCCTTTAATGAGCAGGTATTTTCTGGAGGGATTTTCTTTGAAGATGTTGACTCGCTTAATGGCATCCGCAGAGGGCAGGGGGAGTTGTGCCAAGCCTGCAAACTGTTCCCTGGGCCCATTTCCATCCCCTCTGCCTGCTTGAACCAGCTCCAGGGTGGGCTGATGGGCAGCAGGCACCAAGCCCTTTTGATTTTTTCTTTTTTTTCCCTCGATCAATTATTTATATCTGGCTATTAAGGGAAGTCCATAGCTTTGGGCAGTCTGGTTCGACACCTGCTTTCTGAATTAACAGATACCAGCTTGGACCTTTACAGTTAGGTACAGATCCCTGCCTAAATGCTGCCCTCCCCTAGACAAAACAGGGGCTGGGGTTTAAGGTTAACCCTTTGGCTCAGAGGCTGGAGGGGTACCTAGTCCCTGCTAGCTGGAGGAGAGTGGGATTTAGCACTGCTTTAAAAGGAAGATTTAGGGGATTAAATCCCATCTTGGAGTAATACAGCTTCTTGCGTCTTAGTCCTTTAATGAGCTGTTTCTAAGCTGCTCGTGGTCCTGCTGCTGTCCATAGGCACTTCTCTAGCAAGGCTGAGGAAGGACGCATGGTGCTGGGAGGGTATTGATGAGTTTAGTTGTCAATGCCTGTGAAAAATATTGCTGTTCCCCAATTTAGGATATTTTCTTTCTCCTGGGGTAGCTAATGTTGTCTGGGGGTGCATGGTTTGGGGCAGGGAGCTTGTCTCAGACCTGGGGACTGTTTGGAGGCACCACTGGTAGGAAGAGATGTTGCTAAGAGGAGGGATGAATGGTAGGTCAGCCGGCAAAGAGCAAAGCTCTTGCCCTGACAGCTCCCTCTGTTCCTGCTCCTTCCTCCTCTGGGTGCGACCCTCCTCCCGCTGGCTGGGGCTGCCGCGTGGAGGCTGTCACGGAGCATCCTTTCCTGCTGCTGGAGGGGGGTCCCGAGCATCCTTCTGAAATATCCTCCCCCGCCAGGGAGTTTCCCCCGAGCACCCGGCTGAAATATCCTGCACAGCCAGGAAGGATAGTCTGTGCTGCTCCCTTAGATGCTCTGAGTCGCGACAAGGTCAGGCAGTGGCTTGGCTGGGAGCGCCGGCTGGTGGAGAGGTAGCTAAGGCAGGAACATGGTTCATCCCAATGGATCGAGGGGTCCTCGGGAGTGGGGAGCAAGCAGCAGTGTGCCGGTGGATGATGCTGAGGTGCTGACTGAAGCAGAGGCTTAATGATGCTCCAGCTCCTGACAAGTGCTGATGGTGAACTAAAATGTGTAAAAATTTTGGGAAGTGAAGGAAATGGGCATGTTTTCCCCCTTGTTCCCTTGAACCGTCCCCCAGGTCCAGCCCTCCAGCTCTTCAGGGCCATAGCATATTTTTCATTTCTCCCTCTCTCCTCCCATTTCTTGCCCTTTTATATTACCTCTCATATGACACGCGTTAAGGTTCAAATATTTTTATAAAGGGTCAAACTCCTGATGTGGGACTTCTCAGATCCGCTAACATTTTCTCCAGGATGCCAAAGCCTCCTGTGTCCCAAAATGCATGGCTGAGTGTGACCACCCTGGGGTGCTGCAGCTCCTTGCTGGGATGGATGCTTTGTGCTTTGGTGGGACTGTAGGTATGAGTAGTGTTTGCAAGTGGGAGCCTAGCTGCAGCGCTGCATGACCTTCCTCCCATCTGCACACATCCCCCCCCAAAAAGCATTAGTGTTGGAAGAAATCCATGATATTCTCATTATTCTTACAAAATGCCTTTAAAAGGTACCAGTGCAGCATGAAGGAGCATCCCAACCACGATAAGCAGGGAGGAGCTGAGGATGCGTTGTGTGGCATTATCTTTCCATGCTGCTGAAGCAATGACCCTGCGGGGCTTAGAGCCTCTGCATCCAAAGGGATGCATTCATGAGGATGGACTGGCGAATTATTTATTGATTTTTATTTTTTTTTTTAAATCAATTTTGCTGCATTCAGGATGTGGCAGGCTCAGGACCTGCATCACCTCTCTGCAAAGCTCAAAGCTGCTCCATGGGAGTATTAGTTGTCATGGGGAAATGTTAATGCTGGGTCTTTGGGTTTAAAAATGGCCCGAGTGGGTATTTCAAACATAAGCAGAGCCCATAAATCTGAGGGCTTGTAAAGCACTCGTGCAGTCTGGAAAATGGCAGACTTGGATGCTGGCAACAGTAAAGGGGCAATTGTCACCCAACCCTTGAGTTCGAATGTAAACCTAAAAAAAAAAAAGAGGAATGAGGGGAAAAAAGAGAAAAGCTCCATAAATCTGGCTTTATAATATTCATCTATTCTGGAAAACTATGATAGAACCGAGGTAAATTATTCCTCTCTTGGACAAAGTTGAAAAAGTATATTTTAATTTATACATTAATTCTGGTCAATATTAAAAATTGTTTTAATTTTACTTCCTCAGCTTCTGCACTGAAGCCCCATTTGTGGCAGTGTTCATTTTGGAGACATTTGGGGAATAAGAAAGTCCCGTTCTCTAAAAATCAGTATTTTTTTTGTCTGAGCTGTATTTTCACACATGCTGTGCAGGTGGGTGAAGGCTGGTGCAGGATCTCCTGTGCTTGCATGGGTTTATGGCTGCCCGCTCAGTGCCTCTCTCGGTGGCCGGCTGTCACCATGCTCAGCTCGCAGGGACCTTTCTCACTTGGCTGTCTTCTTGTCTTGGTAGCACTTAGGAGTAGAATTTGTTTATTCATCCTAGAAACACAGAAGGAAAAGGTTATAGCTCATTATTTCCTTTGCAAAGTAATTTTTAATAGCCGACGTTGATAGATGCCTTATTGACTCACAAGTCCTCCCTCTTCTTCTCATTGTATTGTCTTCTCCTGGGGTTTCTGAAGCGGTAGGTCAACTTTGACTCACTGGTATAACTGAGTAATGCCCTTGCTTTGATATGATCTCTTGCCTCTCCCCAAAAAGCCATTTTTTCTTTCCACTAAATGCAAGGATGCTGGAGTCCGAAGCGTTTCCTTCCATCTGAGGAATTCATGCTCTGAAGGGGGTAATGGCTCATTGCGAGATGCTCGGCAGTGGAGGCAGCCCCCGTGGGAAATGCAGCCCTCCTCCGCGCTCTGGATGGGACGGGTGATGTCATTGACCATCTGAGCCACCCATCCTGGGGAAATTTGGCTTATTCCAGCTTGGCTTTTTGACTTTATGGTTTTTACACAGGGGAAAATAAAAAAAAAAAAATAGCTGGGGGTGGGAGGAGGGAGATGTGACCTTTGCGCCTGGTCTTGTGCAGTCTTGGAAAGCGGGGTAGGATGCTGAACGTGGGAGCATGGAGGGGCTTGAGAGCTGGGATGATCTTCTCTGTTTTATTTCCCTCCCTTCTTCAGGTGGATGAAATTTATCATGACGAGTCCCTGGGGGTTCACATCAACATCGTGCTGGTCAGGATTATCATGGTGGGATACCGCCAGGTAAATACAGCACTCGGACGCGGTGAGGAGGAGATGCTATTCAGGCTGGCCCCTGCTTCTCGGCCACTTTCCCGGCTCGAGCCCTGCCTAGTGAGGGAAGAAGGGTTGCTGAAATGCAATATAGGCACAGCAGGCAGCTGCTGCTTCTCCCGAGGCTGGCAAGTGTGCAGCAACACCATGTCTTAGTGTCTCATCACCATAATATTTAGCACTTAGGTAAGCCCTGGCTTGGAAAAGTGTGGTCGTTCAGGTCAACCATCGAAGCCTGAGTGACAACTTGTGCTGAGCAGGGATGAATTTGAACCCTTATCTTGGCTGGTTTCTGGAGCCTGAAGGTCTGGAGAGCTCCATAGCCATCCAGCCCCAGGGCAAAGAGGGGGTCCCTGGGACGATGGCGAGTGGCTGCGATCAGCCTTTATCTGCTTGCTCTGGGGTGCGGGAAAAACCATGAGAGGCTTCCTCAGAAGCTCTAGGGTGGCAGTAGGTGATGGGACAAAGGTGGCTTCCTAAGCTGGCAGGAGCTGGATATTAGTGAGGAGAATCCAAGGCCAGGATCACCTGTATCCCAGCCTTGACTCAGCAGCCGTGGAAGGCTTTGCTGGCTGTCCTGCAGCTCTTGGATGGCTTGGGCATGGACAGAAAAAGCACAGGAAGGTTTCATGCAGTTTCTCAGATTGCATTTATTTTTTAAGGCTCATTTGAGCATGACAGCCAAAAGATTTTCTTTAAGACAGTATGATTTGCCATACTTTTTGTGGCAAACCCCTATCCTACATGAAGCATTCTAGCAAGGGTATTCATGACTCAACACGGTGATGTCTGCGTGTGTGGTCCACAAATTATTAGGTCTTGGGAAAAAAACCCTGTTTGTTACAGAAATCTGTTTGGCTGGCAGAAACCCAATGCCTCCTAGAGACCCAGGGATAAGCAGATGTTTGAATCCAGGCAAGATCTCAGCTCACCACTGTTTAGGTCTGATGCTTCCTGAGCGAATCCTCCTGTGGCTTCTTGTCTCCCACCTTGCGCTTTGTAGGGTAAAACCTCCATGGCCTCCACTTATGGGCCAGGGGCAGGGCAATATTTCTTTTCTTCCCACCGTTGCAGCTCAGCAGGTACCTACCTAAGAGCATCTTTTATTTTAGAGAGCATCCTTTATTTTAGAGAGCATCCTTCATTTTAGAGAGCATAATTTTGCAAAATGCTGATCTTGAACAAAAAAAAAAAAAATGAAGGACAAGGTGACTGCTGTAATGCAGTCCTGGACACCTCTACCTATTTCGTATTAGGGTTTCGGTCTCTGTAGGTCAAGTTTTACAGGGGAGCATTGCTCTGCTTGTTGCTGAGCATCAGCATCACGCGACGTCTCGACGAGGAGCCAGTGCAGGAGCTGGGAATCCGAATCCTCTTTGCTTCCCAGTCACTCTCCTCTTTTATCTGCTGCTGCCCCAAGAGCTTGTGTGACCAAAGAGGGTCATATACCCTCCTGTACCAGACCACATCCATTTGTGGGAATGATTTTCTTGCTATTTTTAAATATAAAAAGGCGCAAGATGCTTTGCAGACGCAAAGCAGGATGTTGTTGCTTCTAATGATGGAGAAGCACTGCTTAGGAGTCTTTCTGACCCCAAAACTCTTGGCAGGCTCCTTCTCCCCCCACTAACTTACCCATCTTTTTCTTTCTTTTTTCTTTCTTTTTTTTTTTTTTTTTTTTTTTCCCCCCCCCCCCACCCTCCCCCCCTTTTTTTTTTTTTTTTTTTTTTTTTTTTTTTTTTTTTTTTTTTTTTTTTAATTCTTTACCCAGTCAGTCAGCCTGATAGAGCGAGGGAACCCGTCTCGGAGCTTGGAGCAGGTCTGCCGCTGGGCTCACTCGCAGCAGCGCTCCGACCCGGAGCATGCCGAGTACCATGACCACGCTGTATTCCTCACCAGGCAAGATTTTGGTCCCGCAGGTATGCAAGGTACTGTATTTATCTCAATCAGGTATGTGCAGTTTGCTGGGGGAAAGCCAGAGAGGGGAGAGGATTTCTTGCAAACACAGTCTGTTTCTTGGCCAGCAAGGTCCAGAAAAAGGTTATAAAAATTGGTATTTTTTTTATGTGAAGTAGAAGACAGGCAGAATTAATCCAGAGCATCAACCTGAACGGATAAAAAAATTATCTTTATTCATTCTGCCCTTACTTTGGTTTCATGCACCAATCCTCCCCTTGTCCCAAAGTGCCCTAAACAGTTTAAAAATAACATAAAAAAGGTGGAATACCACAGGGAGCTTCATGGGGCCAGTCAGTCCTTTTTGTTCTCTGGAGGACCTTTAAAACCTGGTTTTACATGGGGTGGTTTCTTGGCCCTCTTAGCACTGGACATGGGAGCATTGAGTAAACCCTGGGCCAAAGAGGAGGTCAGAAGGAGTGATGGCAATAGTCCTCTCACCCTCTTGGTGCAGAGGCTATGCTGACATGGTCTGAGAAGTTGGAAACCTAGGCAAAAAAATTAAAAAAATTGCAGGAAAAGCTTCTGGCATTTCATGGCTCCATTAGAAACGCGGATGCTTTGGTGGCATCATGAGAAGTGACTTGTCCCAGTTCTCCTGAGCCTGCTGCCTCCAAATTGACACCTCCTTCTTCCCACCCTAGTGGCACAGTCTGAATTTCCCATCAGGAAGCTCCCTTTGATGCCACGAATGTGCTGGTAATGTCACACTGATTTGTAGCACAAGTCCTTCTGGTGTGCATGGGAGGAAGAAGAGATGGAGCAGGAGTCCTGTCCTCGCCTTGATTACCTCCCTGAACAGGTTCTCCCTGCAGCAGGGGATGAACCACAGGAGACATCCAGCTGGAAGCCCTCTTGAATGTGCTGTTGGCCATCAAAGAGCAGAGCTTGGGTTGTGCCAACAGCCTCTCTGCTGAGCTGTTGACCTGCCTTGGACACCTCATCCGGAGTCACGTGGCAGCATGGGTGAAATACCAGGTTTTGTTTCATTTTTCTAGATCCTACCTGGCAAAGTGACTGTGTCCAAAGGCATTGGTGAGAGGACCTTTTTTGGCATGTCAGCAGAAGGGGGAGACTGGCTGGACTCCCCCCTTGGTGGGAAGGAGTCGTGAGATCAGTGGACTAGCCCTGCTCTAGGAATGCTTGCTCCAGCTCCTTCCCCATTTCCCTGTGGATCTGGCACCCTGCTTTTCATGCATCTCCGGGATGGATGTTTGCTTTCTGCAGAAGTCCCCATGGCTGCCATGTCCTTGCCTGGCTGTGTTGCATGGCACAAGGTGCAGGTGCTTCTCACCCATTGGGAACTGCCCTCGTTTTGCACTGCTGGAATAGTAACACTTTGCTTACTCTTGCCTCTTTTCCTCAGAATGATGTCCTTTTAGCTCCATATCATCCCTTTTCAGCTCAGGGCTATATGCAATGAAGGACCAGACCGCAGCACCTCCAATACTTACTTGCTCATGGTGTATGTTCGCTGGTGGTGTCTAAGCGGCTTGCTGAGGTGATGGCCCAGGCTGAAGGATGCTTTTGCTTAAATTTAATTTGCTGCCCTGTAATCACCCATGGTTGGCCTTTGAGCAGGCTGGTGGTAAATGTAGAAGGTCAGAGAGGCTGAAAGCAGGTAGGAAATGTCCATAAAGAAGAATAAAGTGCATTTGGAGGAAGGAAGAGACTGTCTGGTGTCTTGCCGGTATGGTGAGGACATGCCGCTTCTCTTAGGTGTGTGTCTGGTAAGCGTTTGCAGGATAATCTAGTCTTCACCAATTACATATTTTCCGGGTAGTAATTTCTCGCCATCATTCTCCTGTGGAGAGCCCTTTATACTTGAGAGACCAGTGTCTGCCTTCCTGAGCATCCACCTTTTCATATTCCTTTGTCCCATCTTCCGTCCAGACATCCAGAGCCTCTTTGGTTGGGAACGTGTCCCATTTTCATCCTAGATAAAATATATTTGCTCTCCCCTTGTACAGAAAACTTTCCACATCTTTGTTCTTTCTTGTGGAAAGTTTTGGGGAGGGGGGGAATCTTTTAATGTGGTTTATCCAGGATTTGACTCATTACTGTATGGTTAAACCCAATTATCTGATTCTCTCTCTCAAGCTTTTAGTTTGCCCTGTTACTGTTCGCTTTCCTTTTGACTGCAGTGCCCATTGAGCATGTCATTTCTCCGCTCTCTTTCTTAAGGTGTTTTAGTTTATTTGTTCATTGGAGTAAGTCTCGTTGCCCACTTGAACGTGGGGAAGATGAAAAACAAACGCTTCCTCCAGTAAATAAAACCTCAAGTGTATTTATTGAAGCTGCTTTGAGAAGATCCTTGTCATTGCAGAGGTTTCTCTGAGGTTACGTGGTGCTTTGCAGGCAGAAGCGGACTTGCTCTGCATGTAATGAGAGTTGGGTATTTATTTAATCTTGAGCTTTGTGCTTGGCCACTTGGGTTCACCCAACTTCTTCACTTGGAGCACAGGCAAAAATGCATCCATCACTTCCCACAAAATACCATGTGAGTGAGCCCTTCAAAGGTTCGTGTCTGGGCTTGTTTCGAAAAATTAAATTATTATGATGAGAGAAGTTTCCTTTAGAAGTTCCAGTGCAGGTGGACACCCTGGAAAATCTCTGCTCAGCTGATAAATAGAAATATTGAGGGAAATGCTTGCCCCAAACCCCTTTGGTTTTGCCTTCTGCCTGGGGTGATGGTAACTTCTGGGCATCTGGCGGTGCAGCAGCAACCCATCCCTTGTCCTGTCAGGCATCCGATCCTCTTAGTACAGCCAAAGTCAATTACTGTTGACTTTAGGGCAGAGCTGTAGGAAACCTTTTATTTTTTACTTTAATCTCTTGTCCTTGGCCAGCTGTGTGGTGCTGGGACCCACCCGCTCGTTCAGTTTAGGAATTAAGCTGAGTGCAATTGCGTCTTTCCTCTCCACCCTCTTCCAGGGCAATTAGTCACGAGTTGTTCCTGGGGTGCTGGATTGGTGTGCAGCAAATGGCCCATGAGGATGGTGGCACGCAGGCTCAGTGGACCCCGTTTTTTGGCCGGGGTGTGCGCAGGAGGGCAGGTGTAGGGGTGTGCATCCACCCTCAGCTCATCAGCACTCCTCTTCTGCTGCAGCTCAGCCTCCCTCTTGGCTCACTGAGCTTTCCTCTTCGAGCATCCCTATCCCCAGGGCAGAGTTATCCAGCATGGTCCTGCCCTGCTTTTGCCTCTCGGACCTGTAAGTCCTTCCTTCACTAACTTCCTTTCCCCTTGATGCCAAAAAGGGTCAGTCGTTTAAAAAAGAAAAAACAAACCAAATTGGAAAGTAAATTCTAGAACGTGCCAAGGAATTCATTGAATTGGGCAGAAATAATGTGAGAAAAGAAGGAAAATAAACCAAAATCGAGATGACGCATCGCTGAATGGGTGGGGGGAAGGCTTCCCTGCCCACAGCTGCCCCACTGCACTGCACTTGATTGAGGGCTGGGGGCCGGGGAGGTGCATGGTCCTCCCCGGCTCTGTCTGGCGGGGGGGTGCCCCTGTGCCTGGGGCTGGTGCGGGTGCATGTGCGGGTGCATGGCAGGGGTCCCCTGTAGCCTGCAGCGAGCGAGGCTGTATTTTTGGTGGGGCTCTGGGGGACACCTCATGCCTTTTGTTCTCTCTCTTCCTTTCTTCTTTATTAAAAAAAATAAATGTGGGGGATGCCATTTCTGGGCTGGGAGGTGGTAGCCACTGACACCGATAAAGCACCCATAGGTCCCTTGGCTGCCCTCTCGCTGGCCCAGGTGCATTGGCACGAGGGCAGAGAGATGCTGGAGAGCCTCGGCGTAACCTCAGCCTGCTTTTTGCACTGGCAGCCGGGATGGTTGTACTGGCGAGCAAGTCCTTGGGCTGCTGTCCTCTTTGTTTTCTTCTCCTGTTGCAGTGAAGCCAGGCTGTGTTTTTTTAAATTTTTCGTTCCCCCCACCTCCCGCCTCAAAGGTTTTCTCTCTCCTCTCTTCCTCTCTCCTTCCCTTCTCTCTTGCCCCAGGCTACGCACCGGTGACAGGGATGTGCCACCCGCTCCGCAGCTGCACCCTCAACCATGAAGATGGCTTCTCCTCGGCGTTCGTCATCGCCCACGAGACCGGCCATGTGTAAGTCACGAGGGCAGAGCTGTCTGTCCCCTTCGGCGGGGGGACAAGCGTGGCGGTGCCCCTTTCTTTGCAAAAGGGACTTTCTGCTGGTGCAGGCGTGCTCACCACCGCAGCATGAATGGGCTGGTGTAAATCCCCTGGGAACCTGACCTGACACCAGCCTTTCCCACCAGGTTAGGCATGGAGCACGACGGCCAGGGCAACCGCTGCGCTGACGAGACGAGCATGGGGAGCATCATGGCACCCCTGGTCCAGGCTGCCTTCCACCGCTACCACTGGTCCCGCTGCAGCAAGCAGGAGCTCAACCGCTACATTCAGTAAGTCAATTTTAACCAGGAGGGGATGTTCTCCCTTCAGACGGCATGACTGCCTGCTTTTTGTACCCAGCAGCTCCTGCGTGAAGCAAGTGGTGGACAGGTCCCCACTGGGATTGCTTGTTTTGGCAAGAATAGCAAAAACTGGTCCTTGGGAGGTTATTTTCCCTTTTTCTTCTGCAAACAGCTTTGGTTCCTTGCACAAGTCTGAACTGGTTTTGGGCTGTGGAGGCTGGAGGCAAATAGGAGCCTGATAAAAGCTGGAGATGTCAGCTGAGCAATAGTTTGTAGATCTCTGCTGGTGGAGCCCAGATGCAGATCTCAAATATTTTTGCCATTTGCTTTGGGGGCAGCCTGTGATAGCCTTTATCCTTTAGGCTATAAAATGTTTTGTGTGCTGCATGAAAAAAAAAGGTGTAGAAACAGACCAGCAGCTTTCTGTGTGTCAGGGCCAAGAAGAGTATCAGAGAAGGAGGTGGCAGTGGTGGTACCCACTAGTGCCAAGGTCTTCTGTCCCCTAGGGAGCTGCAGGCAGGGGAGGGATGCTTGTCTTTGGGGGACGCTGCTGTGACAGGTTGACCCTGGCTGGATGCCAGGTGCCCACCAAAGCTGCTCTATTGCTCCCTTCCTCAGCTGGACAGGGGAGAGAAAATATAACGAAAGGCTCGTCGGTTGAGATCAGGACAGGGAGAGATCACTCACCAATTACCATTCATGGGCAAAACAGACTCGACTTGAGGGAAATTAATTTAATTTATTACCAATCAAATCAGAGTAGGATAATGAGAAATAACAACTAAATCCTAAAACACCTTCCCCCCACCCCTCCCTTCTTCCCGGGCTCAACTTCACTCCTGATTTCTTTCCCTCCCTGCCAGTGGTGCAGGGGGATGGGGAATGGGGGTTGGGGTCAGTTCATCACACGTCTCTGCTGCTCCTTCCTCCTCAGGAGGAGGACTCCTCACACTCTTCCCCTACTCCAGCCTGGGGTCCCTCCCACAGGAGACAGTCCTCCATGAACTGCTCCAGCGTGAGTCCTTCCCATGGCTGCAGTTCTTCATGAACTGCTCCAGCG